CACATACACACTCACACTCACATACACACAGATACATGCACACATACTCTCACATACACACACACTCTCACATACCTACACACTCATACACACACACACACTCTCACACACACACACTCTCACATACACATTCACACACACTCTCACATATATATAAGCACTCACATGCACACACTCTCACACTCATACTCTCACATACATATATGCACTCACATGCGCACAGTCTCACATACCTACACACTCATACACACATGCACACGCACTTTCACATACACACTCTCATATACATACAGTCACACACATACTCAAATACACACACGCTCTCAACATGCTTTCACATTCGCACTCACACACCCACATTCTCACATACATACACCCACACTCACACACACACTCATATAAGCAATGCAAAGGAGAACAGGGAAGGATAAGAAAGAGATCTGAGAACAAACAGACAAATGACTACCGTAAGGCTCGGCTCAATAAATATTTGTTGAATCAATGAATCATCTGGATGAGCCTAGATTATGGGGAGTTTAAAAGCATACCACTGCACTTCACAGCTTGTCTGTAAAAGCACTTGGGCATCGGAGGCACCGAGGCGGATCTCTGGGCCATTCGTCAAGGCTCCCGGGCTCCTAGCGGACGGAGGTCTTGAGCACACTGGCTTACACTGGTTATAACAGCATGTCCGTCTGGCCCTTGTGGCCATGCTCCCTCTTCACAAAGTCTCTCACTTCCATGGTGAAGCAGCCCCTTTCCTAACGGTGTTTGAATCCCAGACTCTCCTCCCTCAGAGCTATCTTACCCTTGGTGACAGAGAAATCATCCCTAGGCTCAGCTCTGAACTGGTCACCTCCGTGGTAGAGAACTTTCAGTAGCCCTCTCTTGTCTATAGAACCAAGTCCGGTTTTCTAAGTCTGATCGTAAACCACCAATGATCTAGCTAGCTCCAGCCTTACTGTCCGCTATTCCTGTGATGTAGCCTCAGCTCCCCTCAGCCTCAGCTGCACACACCCTCTGCTTCCAGCTGCGACATTTTGGCTTGTGCTTTTCTAACCAGAGGCCCATTTTCCCTCTTTAATTTTAAATTCTTCCCATGCTTGAAGTTTGGTTCACATCACATCTTGCATTCCTGATGGAAGAAGAGATTTTTTTCCCCGTCCTCTGAATCCTTGCAGCATTTTATCTGAACATATGACACTTACCACTTTCCGTTTGCCCTGGAATTATTGATGTGCATAGCTTATCTTCCTGCTCAGGTTTTAAAGGGTAGAGACCACGGCACTTTTAGCTTTATGGTTCCCAGAGCATCTGGCACACAGCAGGCGCTTTTAAATTTGTGGTGCATAAATGGCTATACCTTCAAATGAATGAATGAATGGACAAACAGACACACATACAAATGAATTAATGGGTGAATGAACAAGATGGGCAGCTGTCCTGGGACCCCACAGAGTAGGCTACTCCAGCCAGCCTGAAAGAGGATGTGATTTTAGACGGATCATCAACTTGGGCTGTGCTAATTGCATCTGGACATGTTCTGGGAGGGCCACTTTGTGGGGGAGCATCTGGGGGACAGCCATCCATCTTGAGCCTGCTGTAACCGGCCCCAGAGCCCAGCCGCCCAGCCCCATGAAGTCTCTCACATCAATGTAGTTGGCGTTGATGTAGTCGGAATGCGGGTCTCCATCC